TGACCAAAAAGACTAAGGTCCGTCGCAGTTGTGGAGCTAGATCCTGACTCGCAACATATCTGATCTATTTACGCATTTGTATGTACAGTTATAAGTACCAACAATGCGAAGTCACATGAGAAGTCAGCTGAAACAAAGAGATCAAATGAATTTGGATATGCAATGTACAATTTGTTTTTTTTCAATGCATTTGATTTATTGTAAACTCTCAAATACTTTATTAGAATTTATATGAATAAACTATTTTCAACATCTAATCCACTTATGTTGATCACTATACAACAACAACAACAACAATCCAGTAGAACCCCACAAAAGTAGGATCTGGGGAACCTATGTCCACCACTAACAAATACTTCGGGGTACAATTTAGAGAGGGCTGAAGACATAGAACCCACATTACAGTATCGAATACCTAAGTCTTGCATTGGTGTGCATATGGTTTCCAAAGCTTCAAAACTCCAAATTATTGAATTAAATGCCTAAAAATCAACAGAAATCGAGAAGTGGTTAAACACGAGCATGTAACAATGAGCATGAAACAGTAGAGTTACCTGTCATAATCCCGTGCCACAAGCTGCAGAAATTGTGCATAATTGCATAGCAAAAGTGTGTTGCAAGGATCGTGAGACAGCATAACCTGGTACATAAAATCCGTTCTGAAGTAGTCCACAAACTGGTCTGATTCTACCTGCGCTGAAATTGGCGCAACAAGCCTCTCCATCACCTGATGATCACCAAGTCCTGCCCCATCCAAACTTCTCATCTTCTTTGCTTCTTTCGTAAAAGAGTTCCATAGTTCTATATCAGTTTTAGTTCTTGTCAGTTCTTCCTCTGCAATGACACAAGAAGAACATACAGGTCTCGATAACAAAGTTTCTGCAACTGCGGCGTTGTGGAACCCAGAATATAGACTGAAATTTGCTACAAATATCATAACATAAAGCATCAAAGCCGGTGTTTGGGAGAACACGCGTTGAAATATCCATATGTATGTTGAACGGATATCTCGTTGAGCTTTAGTGATAATGGATTCCATATCTTTGTCCCACAACACTTCCATCATCTTCAATGCATAGGTCTGTAGTTCCACGATGATGGATACCATCGAAGAGAAAGCATTTCCGAATGAACAAGAAGATGATGACTCTCCCAGATCCCTCACTTCCCATTGCAGCTTCTTCTTTATCAATCTCAAAGATAACGGAAGCATAAAACTCTTAGCTTTATGTTCAATACTCAAATTAATAACCGATTGCCTTTCGGGCCAATTTGGAGGATCGGGTTGGATCCCGAGCATTGCAGGATCCAACAAATCAGTTTTTGAAGGAAATTTCAAATAGTTTTCCCTATATCTGCTTGAAGTTGGATTCCTCTCAAATATCACACAACACCCTTCATTTTTCATATTTGAACCGGCTGTCTTTTCCTCACCGTGTATGTTGAACTCTTCAGCTAATCCTTCCCTAATTTCAAACGGTTCATCTCCCATCTCTCTTCCATAAAGATTTAGACCACAATTTCTTCTTATAGTTAAGAGATTGGTTCCTCTAACGGGATTGAGAAACAAAGATCCAAGAACAATGATTTGATTTGTTCTGCTAGGGTTCTTTGAAGATGAGGCTTTAGGCATAATAATGTAAGGACATTGCAAGGGTGGTGATGCAATTTTAAGATTCATATTCGCTTATCAGCTTATGGTGTCGCAAAACCTAGCACCAATACGATAAAGAGAAGGAGATTAAGAAAAATAAAAGGCAGATTCATTCAATGATCTTCCAATTCTACCTGTTTTTTATCACATTAAGCGTATCCTGAACGACAAATACAGATTCAGTCAATGGTCTTCAAATTCTACCTGTTTTCACATCAAGCAGATAATGAACAATAAATACAGATCCATTCAATGATCTTCGAATTCTACTAGTTGTTGTTATGACATAGTAATAATGAAAAATAAACCGAAGAAGAAGAAGAAATATACCGGCGGATGGGAGAACTAGGGCTAGGGTTTTCTTGTTCGAATTGGAGAGGAGGGGGATTGATTCGAAATGTCTGCAGGAAGGGAATGGAAAGATAAATACTCCGAATACAAGTGAGCTGGATTCCAAATCTGGAGGCGGCAGTGGAGCTGCTGCTGCATGTTAACCACCTGTCTCAGTTTCCACAACAATGTCGGTTTTGCAGTGAGGAATTCTGTCACGGCTCTCTCTGTTCGGGATGGGAACGAAAGTGACCAGAGGAGAGCTTTTACTTTCGGATAAGATCAAATTGCGAAAATGATAGGTTACAATTCATGCATGCAAACGTGATACGTCTCTCCTCTTGATTGACTTTCAGATCTAAATTCTTCACTCTCTGTCTGATCTGTATGAATGGTTGATGAAATCGTGTTTACAGTATGCCGACGATACCGGGCACACTTAAAAGAGTTTTAAGTGTAAGACGTGATGACTTAATAGTCTATTCTAACTCTAACGTAGTAACATGTCACTATGTCTCGTTTATTCAAAAATGTGAGTTGATTCAAGTAAATAAATATGATCAAACTGTAAAATTTGAATCATGCCGAATCGTATAACCTATTTAGCATTTGAGGGGGATATGAATAAATTTTACATGCATGTTGAGAATTCTTGAATAGAACATAGAAATTTATTCAAATTTTATTATGTATGAATTGTACTGTACTTGAAATTTAATTGTTTGAGGATAATTTTTCATGTATAAAGAAGAATTCAATCCAAAATTGGTAAGATTTTAATCAACTTATATATGTTAGAAACTTTACTCTTTTATATAGTTTCAATGTTGCCACCTTGTTGTATTATGTATGAATTTTTTTATTATCTACTTCCTCCGTTTTTTAAAAGTGTTCCTATTTTGACTTTGTGTAAAAATAAGGAAGTGTTAAATTGTAGTTGAGTTCCAATTTTGCCCTTGATGTGATGGGTAAAAGTAAGATGTGATGTATTGAGTATTAGAGAAAAAATATGATGTGATAGGTAGGGTATGAAAAAGTAAGGGTAAAAGTGGTTTTTTAATGAAAAGTGGAAGTGTTTTGTTGGAAGTAAAAAAATGAAAGAGGAAGAGTTTTTTAAGAACGGGGGAAGTATTTTCTTTCATTTGTGAAATGTTTCTCCGTTCTTAAATTAATCTTCTGATTTAGTATGCATCTTGTCAACTATATTCTTGCACTAAAATACTACCCTTATTAAATATTTTCATTGACGATTTTGATAAAATAAAAAATGATTATCACCATTTTTGCATTGATCATTTGAACTAATTAATGTATAAAGAAATAATGAGTGGGAGGAGGGAGAAGAACAAAAGGATAGGGTCAAATTAAAGAGTTAAAAATATAGGGAGGATAGAATTATGATTTGGCCAAAATGATCAATGGTTACATAAAAATCGACTTTGGTTATCATTTGTGTAAGATCATTCAAAAGTTCAGATATTTTTGTGATAGAAAATGAAGCTAATAACACAAAAAAATATGTAAAAGTTACCATTCATTTAAAGTATTACAATGAAAAAAGTTCAAATATTATACGTCAAATATGCTCAGAGTATATACTTTTTGAACTTATTTAGACAAACAATGTCCTTGCTAATTTGGATGCCGAGAGAAAAGAATTTATTACCTTCGTCTTTGAATATATATTCAGTTTTGACTTTTTATAGTCAACTAATTTCAACATTGACTTATTTTTAAAATATTTTATAAAGTAATATGATTAAATTATTTTATATTAATATCTAATATCATTTTTATTGAATTTGTGGTCAAAGTTTCCTGATTTTGATTAATAAAAAAATAGATAAATATCAAGGAGAAGGTAGCAAAAACTACTTCTACCTTACTATTTACTCCCTCGGTCTTAAATTAATAATCATGTTACAATTATAATGATTTGCTTCATTTATTTTTAATTCATCTTATTTAAATTACAAACACTAAGAATTATTTACACAAAAAATTATATCCAAACACTAGATCTGACAAAAAATGATCTGATATATTTTTGATCCAAAATCTGATCTGAAAAGACTGGATTTTAAACAAATTACTCCGTAAAAGTTATGACGACTGAACCCAAAGTCGAATAAACCCGAAATGACCTGTTAGAAATGGATCAAATCCCACTGAATTCGAACCCGACCTGATCAACTCGCTAACGTAAGAAATTTTAAAAATATAATTTACTATAAAATATAATGTTATTAAAATAAGGTTATAATCATTTTTTCTTAGTACTCATTTCTAGTGTATAAATTTATATTTTGTGACAAATTTTCAATACTTTTTTAAAAAACTTGTGTATTTTTTAAATTTTTATTGATTTATATATTTAAAAATTAATTCAAAATTAAAAATAAAATAATCTATTAGATTTAATATATATTTTTGATCTTTTAAATTCATTCAAAGGAAATTGGAAGTATTAATATAATTTTAATTATTTTTAAAATCAAAATCATGACACGTTGGGTTGACCCAGATTCGATGATACTGGGTCATGAACATACAATTTTAAACCCGAACTTGAATTGACACGAATCCAACTTGATCGATCCATTTGTCACCTCAACCAAACATAACCTCTAGCGAATTTTATATTCCGTATTTATTTAGAGTAATGCTAGAGTCACAAACAATGCACTCATAAAATGCACAAACTTTCTATTTGTATACTCCTTCCATTCTCAAAAACTCTTCCTCTTTCATTTTTTTACTTCCAACAAAACACTTCCACTTTCTATTAAAAAATCACTTTTACCCTTATTTTTTCATACTCTATCTATAACATCATACTTTTTCTCTAATACTCAATCATCACATCTTACTTTTACCCATCACATCAAGGATAAAATTGGAAGTCAACTACAATTTAACACTTCCTTATTTTTAAACAAATTCAAAATAGGAATACTTTTATAGAACGGAGGGAGTATTTAAGTTTTTATTTTTAATTTTTTGAAACCATTGTGATTTTAGCATTAGTCATTTATTTAAACGATCAATTACTTAACTTCAAACAAAAAAACCAATGTATACATCCGGGACAAAATGCATATGCGCCCATTAATGATTACTCCGTAATACAGAGTATTAGTAGTAAGTATGACGTTAATAAATCAATATCGGCGTATTACATAACGGACAGTCCAAGATTAGACGAACATGATGATATACATCGCTCTGAAAAGACGTCCGAGTCACAGCATCACTGAGTTGAACGAATTTTACGAGTCAACTCATTTTTGGGACATTTCCCCCTTTCCCGGACGACACCTGCCGTGATCGTGACTCCAATGCTCCCCCAGAAACGTCTTGGCTGCATCCAAACTCGGAAAATACGTCGGCTCTAGAAATATTTGTGCGAGCAAATCGCCGGAATCGGCGTTCACAGTCGCCGGATTCGCCTTCGCTTCTAAGCTCCCCATGACCACAACCAGAAGCTGCCTGTACGAGTAATAGAACCGCTTCAACGACATTTCTATGGCTTGCAGCGCTTGAACCAGATGGATCTTATCGGCGCTGTCTTTTCTCCGGAACAACTCCATCGCCGCCTCCTGAACTCTCGGCCCGCCTTTGGGATCGACTTCCACGCCGAGGATACAGGGGACTTTGTGCTTCAGGCTCTTCGAGAGCTTCGTGATTTCCACCAATCCTTTGGATCGGAAGCAGAAGAGCTCGGTTTCGGAAATTGCTTTGATGGACAACTGATTTTTCAGGCGGAGGAAATCGTCGGGATCCATCAACAGGTGCAGGTCTTGAATCTCGGTTAGGAGCCTCCATGCTTTCTCCAGGATCCAACAATCGCTTCCGGCCTTGTCAAATTCCTTCCGATCGATTCTCTCCGAGATCCGATAGAGAAGCGATTTCGATGCGCAGATCCAGGATTCGAGCACGTGAAGAGTTGTGTACAGTGTCTGGTTCTCGTAGTTCTGAAGGTTGAGGCGATCGGAGGGGCTTTTCTTCAGGGAGTGAAGCTCCGTCGGCCTGACGATCGAATCGTAGTCGAGGCTCGGTTTCCCGGTCAGATTCGGCTCGCCTAATCCGAGAGTGTACGGACACCGCTGCATCTCGCTTTCGATGCTGTCTAGAACCTTCCGAGCTACGTCCTCCGATTTGCGCCACGTACCGAGCCGGGGCAGCAGGCTAGCTTCGCTCGTCCGGCTCACCACCGTCGTATCGTCGGAGAGCTTCCACACCTCCACCGAGCTGTTCTCGCGAGACAAAACCGCGTCGGAAGAGGTCAGATCCACAATCGGAGCTGCGCCTCGCGTCTCATCATCTTCCGCGTCGTCTTCGCATAACATCGCTATGATCTCAACCTGACTCCTCGCGAGAGATTCCAACCTCCGCTTCCACTCGCGGCGGTTCGCGTACGGCCGGGGATCCGATAGGACGACAGAGACGAACCGGAACGTTGTCTCCAGCCCCTGCAGAGCCGGCTTGATCAGACATTCATTCTTCCAGTCAGGAAACTCCTTAGAACTCCATAGCCTACTCAGCTCCGGCAGCCTCAAGTAGTACTCATAAGCGGAGCAAGCAGATTCCGACGCGGCAGCCAACTCCAACTCATGAACCGGCGGCGGCGGGGGCGGAATAGAGATATGATGCTTATTCAAAACCCTGGGAGATTTTTTAGGCAAATCAGGGGAAACCATATCCGCTTTCCGATCAAAATTAAGCATTTCTTTTCGTCTATTAATTAAATCTAATCTGAGAGGGGAACGAAGGTTTGAATTTCGAAAAGATAAATGAATCTGGTGGAGGGTTTGGTGGGAATGGTGGGATTGAAGGCGCATATATATACACACGTAGTTGGGGGGAAGGGGAGATGAAGTGCAAATAGACGGCGTGTGGAGATGGAAGGATTGAATGGCAGGAAATCAAAGGCGCGGGACGGTGAATTTATGAATATTCAATTGGTCTTCACTCGTATTTCCTTCGTGGCTGCCACCTTTAATAAAATGTTTAATAAAATAAAATTTATCTATAGAATACTCCCTCCCTCTCTAAATAATTTACATATTTTATTATTTAAAAATTACGAAAATTTTTATTTATTTGTTTGATTTCATTGATTATTTGATAAAATAAAATATTTTCTAAAACTTTTGACATATTTTTTAAACATGTAAGTTTTATTTTTTAATATACAAATCTTCAAACAAATGAATTCAGTTTATAAACTATACTGAATAGTTCGGTTCTAAAATGATCTTTCTAGTTCGATTTATAAAGTTTGATTGAAATTATTTTCAATTTAATTTTTTTTTATTATAGATGTAAAATTAAAAAAATAAAAATTATATATTTCAAAACTACATCAAAAGTTGTACAAAATAAAAAATGACATGGTTATATTATTTTATCAAATAATTAATAAAAATATATAATAAAAAAGTGATTAGACTTTGACCATATTAATAATGATAGGGAATATCATTTTAGGACAAAGCAAGTTGTTTGTTTTTCAATGTAGTATATCATAATATGCTTTAATTTTCTAATATAATATCATTGTTCAATGTCAACTGAAAATTGTTTAAGCAAATGTCTACCACTAGACATTGTTTAAGTAAATATTTATCGTCATTGGGCAATATTCAACTACTTTTTAGAGAATAAAAAAGTTTCGTAACCTTGAGAACAAACATATATTTTAATACTATTTAATATAAATTTCACTTAGTAAACTCTACCATGATGGTGCGCTTTGCGGTGTAGAGAAAGACAAAGAGCGCCGAGTTCGATACCTGACAACCTTTATCACCAATCTACTCAAAATCTAGTTTATATTTTCTCGATGATAGTATGATCCTTAAGAAAAACGGAGTTTAAAATTTGTTCATGCATACTTCCCTATTAAATAAAACATAGAGAGTCCATATCCAGGAGTTCAAATTGATATATAATACAAAAAAATAATTTGAAATATTCCTACATAATATATAGAGAAGTGTGAATGGGTTATCAATAACTCCGATCCCCCGTATATGATGTGTCATTCTCTGGAAGGGGGGAATGAAAAGAAAAACGATATACAAACATTGTAAAATGAAAAAGGGAACATAAAAAGAAAGGGAGAGAGGTTAGAATAAATTTCTTCGAGAATGGGAAGCTTTGAAAAATAAAGGGTGAAGCTTATCCACAAACGGATATATGGTTTTTTTTTTAATATTAGGTCCGCCCCAATTCAATATACACATCCTAATCCTACCGCTCCCAGTCATATTCTCTTTAATTTATTTTTTACTTATTACTTATTCTTATTGAAATCAGATCAGATTTGAAATAATTTTTAAAATAATTGTATTGTGACCAAATCAGATCAAAATTTATTCTAATCAGATTAGAAACAATCAAATCAAGTACACACAAGTAGACTTCCTTTCGGAATTCAATAAATAAAAGCCGCCCATCACACCCATATGATAAATCTTAAAAGCCTCTGGCACGCCACCTAATTTTGTTGAAATATAGGAGGTGCAAAAAGAATAATATCTCATCTAGTTGAAAACTTTTAGAAATTTATTTTATTATATTAAAATGCAATGCAAATTATGATTAATTTGAGCACAAAATTTGTCAAATTTAATTTTAAAACATCAAACTCGACAAATATACCAAGATAAAGATAGTATTTAGATTTGATTTTTAATAACAACGATGACTAACGATAATACATAACATGAAATGTTTGTACAGACTGTCAAGGTGGATTAATGATGTTGGAAAAATTTGTATACTTGGTAATATTCAAAGCGAAAACGATGAACATAAATCATCTTGATTATGGTTCCCATACTCGATTCAGATAGTATAATTCTAAAAGAAATTAAATGTATTTTAATCTTAGACTCGTGAATAAAGGGTGAGATCTCTATATATGGTATGGTATATGTAAAAATCTCATACTATGTATCCTCATCATTTCTTTGTTATTTCCATAAACCAAACTCAAATAATATATATACTCTCTGTCTCGAAATAGATTACGATTTTTAATCTCTCTATTCTCGATAATTTTTGTTTATTTGTGTGTTTTCATTGAATATTTAGAGGCTGGTTGGCAACTTCTGAATAGGTAAGTGCTGAACCATTAAGAGCTAGTATATTGCTTAACTATTCAGAGGCAAGTGTCTGATCAATTTAGATAAGAAGTCTTAACCACTTAGACTCTATATAATACTTAACCATTCAGAGGCAAATCTCTTAATCATTCAGACATCTGAACCATTAATAGGCTGAAACAAACAGTTTGAACCATTAAGTGCTGAACCATTCAGACATCTGAATTATTAAGAGGCTGAAACAAACAGCCCCTTAATCAAATAAAATATTTTTGTCATCTTTCATTTTGTAGAACTTTTCACATACTAGTTTTGTAATGTATAATTTTTTTTTGTTGATATACCAATTTATTAATAAAATTATTTTAAAAGATGAAATATTTTATCTCGTAACTCTCAATTTATAATGAAGTTAGGAATATGAAGGGAGTATGATCTTTTCTTTTGGATCTCATGTTGACCAAATAAACTACATTGCCAGACACTAATTATTCCTGCCACATGAAATAATATTGTCATGCCGCATCAAAATATCGGTTACGTACGCCAATGTTTTTTTTGGTGAAATCAATATCTGAATTTATTGACCAAAATATACGGAGTATAAAACTACCGAGTGGGGTTTTTTCGGAGGAAAATGCTAGAGTGCCACCACATGAGTGCTACCATGGGTGCACTCATGCTTCGCACAGACAAACACAGACGATAATTGCCTGTGTCGCACAGACAATTATCGTCTGTGTTTGTCTGTGCGAAGCATGGGTGCACCCATAGTAGCACCCATGTGGTGGCACCCTAGCATGGTCTTTTTTCGAATAGTTTTGGATCATTTTTTCGTTGTTATTTAAAAAGAAAAAAAATATATACGGAGCGTATACCACGACCACATGTTACTCCCAATTTGTAGGGTTACAGGTTACTGTTCATTGAAGATTTTAAAAGGAAAATATTTATTTAGATACAGGCAATGGATAAAGATAAAAGATATTGCTAATAATCTTTTATACGGCGTCGTCGTAGGCTTTGGGTCATAATCGAATCACATACTTCGCACTTCCCGATTCAATCAAATACAATAATAAGATGTCTATTATATACTCCCTCCTTTTTTAAAAATTGTGACGGTTTGACATTTTTTGTCAAACTAGTACATTATTTAATCGTGAATTATAAAAAAATATTTAGTTTTATTGCAAATTTCGTAGAATTGAGTTGATTTTAAAATGTAGTTTTAAAATATTACGAATTATAGTTTCAAATTGTGACAATCTTTTAGAAATTAAACGAGTGGAGTATATAAAAGTAAAATCAAAGCTGCTCCTTTGACACTCTCTGCATTTGCCAACGGCACAACGTCCAACAGCCGAAGTATAAAATATTGGTACATAGTATAATTTTAAAGAAATCGCATTAGATAGGAGTAAAAAAGCATAAAGACATCAAAATAGAAGTCTTATGTCTTTTAAGAGTAATATAAGAGTATAAATGTATAATAGCATTATTGTGATTTAAGAGTACGCGTTGACGATTTGATGGAAACGTGATCGATCAGTCGACCATGCAACATCACTCTGGTGACATGCGGCAACAAATGACAGTGTCACAATATTAGTATGAGTAATTTGGTTTGTCTATGGCATTTGACAGAGCGGAGTAAAGTGACGGCCGGATATTCCGGGTTGTCATTATAAAAAGTGAGACAAAGTTAATTATTGACTAATCATATTGTAATTGTATTCGCATAACCAACTCAACCATTTTTACCCTTTGGGATGAGATTTAGCCGCATACTATAGAGAGTGTTTGGCAGTATGTTATTTTCAATAATTTAGTTTCTACTTTGAGTAAACGTGATTTTACTCTGTTTGGCATGTCTGCTTCTGCTTTTTACCACCACTAATTTGTACATAGAACACCGTTTCGGAGAAGCATGTATGAGATGTTTTTGCTTTTAGCTTTTGTGAAAATCACTTTATCCACAAATTAATCACTCTCAAACACCCTTTATATTAGACATGCTTTTTACTTCATCTTTTTTCATTTTTTTCTTTTTGACTGTTGATTTTTGATGGCGTTTGGATGACCGGTCTCGATGAAATTAGATGAACCAAAAACTAATTCAATCCATTGGTTTAAACCATGTTAATTACGAATTGTTTGATTTCATACGAAACAATCTTGAATTTTCATGAAATTTTTGATGACCATATATGACCCAATCCCTTTACATTAAGAAAAAAAAGTGTGTCTCATCGCTATCTATTTTTTAAAAACGAAATTACCTATAAACTACTCCATCCGTCTGAATTTATATTGATCGATTTAGTTGATTGAAATTATTTTTAAAATTATATATTTAAAAACTATATCAAAAGATTTATAAGATTATTGGTGACCTAATTATATTATTTTATCAAATGTCTAACTAAAAAAGAAAATAAATAGAGTTTGACCATGTGAATAATAAATATGTAATTTAAATTAAGACGAAGGAAGTACTAAAAACATGGCGAGTTTTTCAATATAATACCATATGTTTTTATTTCATAATGTATTACCACTGTTTAATGTCAACTGGATATTTCTCGAGTAAGTGTCTACCATCGTTGAACATTTTTCAAAATAAATGTTCATCGTCACTTGACATTATTCTAATCACTCGTTATTATTTAAGTATTATCTAAGAAATAAAAAATTTTAGATACTACATTAAGAAAAGACATCTTTTAGTATTATTATTTTGCGTAAATTTTACTTTGAAAAAAAGTTCTTCAAAACTTACAACCACAAATATAAACTTTTGATTGGGTGACAAGTTGTCGGTTCCCATACCTATTCAAGTATTTGATTCTAGAATTTAAATTTGAGGTGATAATATATGTATAATTATAGGGTGTAGAGTATAAATTCTACGGCGGAATGAATCAAAACACATCTTTAACGCAAGAAGACGACATTGAATATCAAAAGCAAGTTTGAAAATATATTTGATCTTTTTTTTTGTAAATATTAAATAAAAAAAGGGCAAATGGATAAGGGGAAAAAAAGACAGAGAAAAGGACGTGTTTGGGTTTGTTTCGGATAAGGGCGCCAGAATCCGATTGGGTCGTCGTAATTAGCGACTAATTTCAACAATAATATCATTTTTTCAGCTGATTTTTCAAACGTCTGGCTGGAAACCACGACACCCGGTAGGACTCGTTCCTAGCTAGCTCCTCATGCTATTCTTCTAATAAAAATAAAAATCACTTTAAATAAAAATAAAATATAAAAGTTTACACTGTGAAATTAATTATGACACTATGTTCTACAACTCGTTATACTTTTTGTTATATTATATATAATATTATTGACAGTGTAACTCTATTTTTTTAAAAAAATAAGACGTTACTATTACGATGCTTTCTGCATATTTTAATTCTACTTAAGCTTCTTTGCTGAGTGTGTAGCTTTTTTTCCTGTTTGCTACACGTAAGTAACAAGATTGCGAATAAGAAAAAATATCTGGTGGCAACGAGGGCAAAGAGATGAGTGGATACTAACGGGAGGAATTTAGTTATTTAATATTGCATTTGAAGTAATTATGTTTTAAGGATAAGAATCCAAGTTGTACTTTGGGTTAAGTACTTAAAAGCTTCCACGCCATTTTTGTTGACTCCAATGCATATTTAAATATTGTTTTGAATTTAGTGTTTTAAATCGTTTCGAAAATTATTGTGTTTGATTCCAATTTAATAGCAACCCGGTTTGCTAACTCGCTGGTTCGTATTACGCGGGTTGGGGTATTACAATTGGCATTGGAAGGCTGACCGTTTGGGAAATTATTTGGTGAATTGAAGGATGGATATCGGCAATTGATGGGGGAGGCAAGCCATGCTTCATCCTTTATTTGTGGGGTTGTTTGTGGAACCTTTATGTGGCTCCTAAGGTTAAAGTTTTCTTGTGGAGAGCTGCGCGAGAATTTTACCTACGAAGGATGCTCTTTTGTTGAAAGGGATGACCGTTGATTGTTTGTGTTCAGGGTGCGGTCAAGCACCTTAGCACCCGGGTCAATTGATCATATTTTCCAATCTTGTTCTTTTGTGGATCACGTGTGGCGTTTGCTGGGTAAGGAGGGTGATCATATTATGTTTGGCTCTTTTTGGAGTGGTCTCAACATCATTGTCATGATGACTTAAGAAAAGAGCTTGGTGGTTATGCTAAGGGCTGGTGGGTGATTCAGAAGGCACGTAATTCAGCAGTTTGAGAGGGAAAAGTTCCTCATCCATATGGCCCAAAACAACTGGTTCAGAGCATGGAGAGAAGTTGGGAAGTCCGGACGAAGGAGGTGCAGCAATGGCGTTCTGGACAGAAAGTGCAGAGGGTTTGTTGGGTGCCGTGAGGTATTTTTTGACGCTAGTGTGGACGTAGCTACTGATTTTTCTTCATTTGACAATGCTCTCCTTACAGCTGATGGTTTTTTTGTGGTAGTCAACAATGGGAAGACACACGGTGTTATTGAGCCTTTGTTGGCAGAGGCAATCACATGCAAAAAGGCGTTGTCTTGGCTAAAGAATCGCGGTGTCTAAGAAGTTGAGATTTTTTTCCGATTGTGATTCTTTATTTCGGGTGCTTAAGGAGGAATGTAAGTTTGCTTGCTCTACGTACTTGGACTCTATTCTCGAAGTTTGCCATTCTCACTATTCGGTTTTTTTACATGTCTCTTTGAATTTCATTCATCGTTATATTAATAAGGTAGTACATGTTTTGGCTAAACACGCAAATATTCAACCAGGGTTGTGGGAGTCTGTTGAGACTTGAGAGTCGACCTGATATTAGCTCATTGACTTATAATTTGAACTCAATGTTGATGAAGAGCCAAATCTCACGATTTATTGTGTAGAGCCATTTTACATTTCTTGTTTTTTCTCAAGAAATAATTGAAGATTAATGCAAATTAACTCGTGATCACACACACTCTCTCTCTTGATGTTGTCGCTACAGTGGAGAGAACGAACAAGTTGGGTCACTGATGTGGATCACTACTAACCGTACGTGCTGGAGGCCTATGCTTCAGCGGATGAGATGCTATAACATCTTTCAACATTTTTCCTGCCATCTCATTTTGACTCTTTCACATTATCAGTTCTTAGGAGATCAACAAATTAGGTGACTCATATGCTGGCATGTGTATCTAATTCTGAGTTCGATTTTTTAAAATGGGTTCATGTCCTCTCATAATTTATTTCGGAAGCATTGTACTCTCATTTGCATTAATATTAATCCATTGATTTTCAAAAAAAATTATTTCGCTATTGGAATATTTGGACAATTGGACTATTTGGACCCAAGTCTAATTAGGGTGTGATTAGACCTAAAAAAATGCTCATTGATCCGTCCATAGGTGCAAGAAGCAGTGGGAAGAAAAGAAAAAGGGCGAGCCTGCGAGTAGCACCTAGCTCAGAACAATGGCTCCCCGTTCAAGAACCAGAAAGGTTCATTCTTTTTCTTCCCCATTTCATTCCCAATCTTCTTCTCCGTTGTTCCATGAACTTTCAGAGTTTCTCCGATGAATTTCTGCTAATTTATTGATTTATTTTGCGAGATAGAGGTCAACAAGAATGGACGCCGCGGTTGATGCGATGGGGAATCTAGGTTTCGATGCCGAAGTCGTTACTCGAGTTGTGAGAGAGCTTCTGGATGTAAGTGTTCGGACTCTTTATTTCGCCGCAGAATATTCATGATTTCCGCGGTTATTTCAGCTTGAGATTTTCTCTGAAATTGTTGGAAGGTTCTTTGAAATTGATCGCCGATTAAACTTGGGATTTCACCGATTGGAGGAGTTCCAGGAAGTGTTTACACGGCTTCGTTATGTAATGTAGAAATTCAATATGGAAGTGAGATTTTTTTTTGTTCGAGAAGGGCTTTAGTGGTAATATGTTGTTATTACTTTGAAAGATATACGGAGGAGATGAAGCTTGGCCGTTCATTGAGGAGTATGGATACAAGGAGCTCATAGATGCAGTTCTTCGCGATTCCGAGACTTCAAAAGATGAAAACTTGGAACAGGTATGAACCAAATGTGTCTTGTTTCGTTACACTGATCAATCAATCTGCCATCTTGTTTTCTTTGATGAACTGCATTTTCTCTGTGTTTGCCCTTGTTTCTTCATATGTGGGCTGGTTTAACCTGACTTTGTCGAGTGGAGAGCTGAAAATTGTTCTTAGGACTTGTTTAGCTAGCTAGCTTCATACTTTGTTTGTGCTACATTGATTTGTTTGTTCTTACTTCTCTATCCGAGCCGAGAGTCTCTTGGAAACAAGACTCTCTACTTCATAGTAGAGGTAAGGTCTACGTGCACACGCTCTCCCCATGTTCTACTATTGTGGGATCCTAGTGGTTTTGGTGTTGTTGAGTCACAAATGAATGTAGATCGAATACGATATTTGTGTAGCAGTCTGATTTCTGATAATGGAAATAGGTGCATAAAATTTGTCCATGGCTTATTTGGGCGCATACATAGGTAGGCCCCACAGGTGAGGCGGGTGGTCGGTTTGGGGAATTTAAACCGGACACCAATGAAAGCCCTGGTGTTTAGGTGGTGGGTTAAAAAGGGTACAATCGAAAGGTTTTTCTGAAGGTTATGGGGAAATTGACAATGGTTTTAAAAACAAGAATTTGGGAAGAGAGTAGAAGGATAGTGACCAAAATAGCATTAACACTTATTTATATCATCAAATCCAGAATGAATCTTTGCAAAGTGAAGTAGCCTATGGATCATCAAATGGTCTTGCTTCTTGACAGGTATGCTCAGGAGCGGGTGATTTTGCACCAGAAGTAGAGAACAGTATTGTTGTGAAATCACCATCATCAAGCATCTGCGCTAATGTTAACAACGCAGGTAATCAAGTTAGCCTGTTTTCTTGCCTTTTTTTGCTACGCTAAGAACTTTAATATGCAATTTTCTTCAAATTAAGGGACGAATGCGTACATTTGTTTTATTGCTGGCCTATATGCTAAGATTTGGATTTTGTATATTTATTTTCAGTCTTCCAGACTATAAAATGAATGTGAACTTTATATGGAAGCCATTGCTGTTTGGTAAGGGTTGTTTGGTTGAAATGACTAAACCTCTTGATTTTTCATGAAAGTAATAGGTTTGAAAACCATGGAAGATGGACTCTAAAATACACAAAAAATTGGCAACCGTTTGAATTTGACATTATTGGGGAAAAAATATGTTTTGCAGGAGATATGCTTCTGGCCATCGAAGATGTAAATGGTTCAAAAGAAACTGAGTACGATAGCGACGAAATGACCTTGATTAAGAGAAAGAGATCCAAAGATACCTGCAATTCTAGCAGAACTGAGATGGCCAAAAATGCCCCCAACATGTCCGCCTCTTCCCTCCCTTCTTCAAAGATTCTCAAGAAACCTCGTGCTGTCACTGTGAAGCCATCCTGTGAAAAGAATCCGGGCAACACGTCTTCTTCGCGGGCCCCACCTGCTCTTCTTCCGCAGAATTCTCCAGAACCGGTCACTCCTCGCCCGCCGGAAAGGCGCTGGCCTTGTTATGGCTGGATTGAAAGTGACGACGAGGATGAACCCGAGCTCATGTATTTTCCACCGGTGCGGCCCGCCGACCGTCCGTCGCGGTTTTCTTATTTCAAGACTGGAACCAACAATGAGGGTAGGCGGCCTTCAAGGTGGGATCAAAAACCAGAAACAGTCTGATCTGACCGTGATCCCTTCACTACCAATTAAGTATGAACACTAACTAATGTAAATTAATCTAAGAGTGTTGCTATATCCACCTTTTCGCTATATCACTTCATTCATTAATGCTAAGAGGGGGTTTGGCAGTGCGCTGCTTTTAACAATTTAGCTTCTGCTTTGAGTGGAAGTGATTTTACTCTGTTTGTCATGTCAGCTTCTGCTTTTCACCAACATTATTTTGTACATGGAACACCGTTTCGGAGAAGCAGATATGATGTGCTTTTGCTTTCAATTTTTATAGAAATCACTTTATCCATAAGCTAATCACTCCCAAACACCTTCTAAATAGAAAACAGAATTTTGATGCAAGGCCACTTGTAGGGGCAAAATTGTCTATTTAACACAAAAAGAGTAGATATAGCCAAAATGGAGTGGATATAACAACACCATAAATCTAATGCTTTTCTAGAGTTAATTGGAGCCATGCTATATGCATATTTTTTGTTTTTTTTTTTGTTTTTGCTCCCAGGTTTATTATTTTATCAGCATATATATATATATATATATATATATATATATATATATATATATATATATATATATATATATATATATATATAGCTTGAAAGAGTGTAAGGATCATAGTATTATTAATATGGGTTCCTAAGGATCATAGCTATTTTCAGTGACAAAATACCCCGGAGTATGTTGTATATCTATACAATGGAAAGGTTTTTGAAATTCATTCATTTAATAACTCTCTCTCATCCACATCATTCATTTTAAAATATTTGATTTTTAAACAAATACTCACTATCCATTTCATCCATACATCCGCTTAATTAATTATTCATGTGGCCTATTTTATTCTATTTTAAATAAAAATATTATGAAAGCTATATAATTAAATAGTTTAATTTAATAAAATGTTTTAATATTTTGAAATTAAATATTACAAATCCAATATTATAAATAAATATCATAAATATTAAAATAAGTAAGCCTTGCATTCAAATGCATTTAACGGAATGGATGTTTAACCCTCTCTCTATCTAATGAATCATTCACAAACTATTAAATGACATTTTTCATCTATCCATCATTTTAAACACCATTAGTGGGGATGTTCTGATCTTAGTGATCATATTGTTGAATTAGTACCTTCTTGGCATACACTTCTTCATGGAAGTCAGGTTGAGGCATCTATATGTCTTAGTGAGTCCTAAATTGAGTATTAGCATAATTCTCTTCCAGCTTGTGACAACAATATTTGTTGTGATATTATGACAACAACATATTCGGTGCTTCAATCGATAAGTTGATAATTTTTATCCCTTAAACCATCGCAAACCCTCATGTCCCTTCTACAAAACGCTAAAATGATACAGTAACATTGTAACATATCGATGTTTTGAGGAGAAGAGCAAATGATCAGTTGGCATTTTTTTAAATAATATTTTGAATTTCAGTTGTCTAATTTTTTAGTAAATTTTCCTTCTCGATTAGATGCGAACCTATCTTCATTTTAGAGATGGTTGGGAATAGCGTTAGAGATTAGTGTTAACGTTTTGGATAAAATTTTAACGGTATAGATTACTTTGAAAACTCTAACGCTAAACACTGCCCGTAGATAGCCTTTTCAAAACGCTAACGCTAATCGCTAAAGCTATTCTCAAACAGGCTCGTAATGGAAGGGGAATTGGAGGATTTTAGTGGTAGTAATTGTCATTTTTTCTTCGGAAGGACCATACGGCCCATAGTGACATTGGTCAAACCAAGCCGTTTTTTAATCCATTTCACCCCAAATTGCAACTCTTCCTTCCTCATCCACTGAGAACCGATACTCTCCCGCATCTTCGCCATGAGTTTTCCGGCGGTATGCCGCGGTGATGCCGTTCCTGTATTGCGGCGCAGCTCTTGCTTTCATTTCTCCTTCCAGCCTATGCTTCTGCCTTGTTCCGCAGTTTCTCGGCGGAAGCCCATTGATTTTCCGACTAGACGCTCGATTAGGTTCGCCGGGAAACTTGATCTTTGTATTGGACTCTGAATTGTATGCATATCATTACTGGTCAATTAAAAAAGTAGTGATTGTTTCAGTTCGTTATTTAAACAAGATTATTATTGAATAGACGACAAATCTAATTTTGTTTCTAACATTTCGCCTATGCAATTAGGATTAGGTTCAATGTGAAGCGAGGTGATTTTTTCAGATGTAGTGCGACAGAGACCGGCCCTGATAAAAATGAAAACGAGGCATTTTCGCTTTAATTTCTTTACTTTCATGGAGAAAGTCATATTTTGCTTCACTCTTTGAATGCATCACGATTTGGTGTCACCTTAGTGTCCAATTTTGTGTTTAAAAGGAAAAGAAGCTGCATGAAGAAGAAGCCAGCTTGGGCTCAACCGATTCACTTTCATCAAATGATTCTCAGCCAAGCTCTTCTTCTGATCAAGTAGGATATTCATTTACTCGGTGTTTTTTGTTTACTTAATTTGTTAATTTAGTATTGTCATGTAATTGCTTAATTTTTCTAATACGCTGGCAGGCCATGTCATTACCAGTTTGAAATGCCACACTGTGTTGACTTAAATTTTATGGGATCGTGTTTTCTGCCAGGATAATGGGCAAAATCTTGGCTTTCTCGAATCTAATGACCAAGTCAAGAGTAATAGTGTAGATGCCAGTTCTCTATCTGGAAATGAGGCATTTAGCGTTTAAATGCTTGATGCTTCCTATATGAATCTCCACTCTTAGGCATGACGAGTTTTTACCTACATCGATGCTCTTTTGCAGTCTTGCTTTCATGATTGACAATTTAGTTTTTACCTACATCGATGCTTTATTTTTTATTGATGGCAATAGGTCCAAAGTCCTAGCTTCTTCCATTTTTCATCATTGCACAGATTTTATCATTGTTATTAGAAAGTTGGTATGATTATATGAAGTTTTTGAAATCTTATCTCCCAGTTGACTGATTTGTGACCTGTTTGGTTCCTGCTTGAGTAGTGTGGAGATTAGAGAGGGAACTAGGCAGGGGTAGAAAGGGGAAGGGAATGCATTATGTCCTGGTTCCCCCCCCATTGTTAAAACCTAAAACTTGCTGTGCGTTGCTGTTACTTCATCGTAATGCTAGCACTCTTTAAGGTTATGTTTGGATCCCAGAAAAGTGCTAAAGAAATTTAGTTTCTGTGTTTGGTTTTATTTTGAAATATCAATGGAAAATGAAATGTGAACATTTTAAACTGTGCATAGATTTGGAATTCTTAGTTCTTATATGACAGAAATGAAAAAACAAAATGAGAATCAACGAATATCAAAAGGTTTGGTTTCCAAGCAGACCCTAAATGTTTCAAGTATCATGCCAATATGTTTTACCAGTAACCATTTCTTCCCTAAATGTTTCAAGTATCATGCCAATATGTTTTACCAGTGACCATTTCCAAACAGGTAAAAATCTTTTCAACGGTATGGGATGATTGATACCCATTAGTAAATTAGGAAGTTGTAATGGTTTTGTAATTGACCTTTTCATGTTGGCTTTGTTGTCTTACTTTCTGCAGCATTTGTTTTGATGCAGGATGATATTGAAAATCCAGTTGCAAGCGGATCTCCTCTGCCAGGTCTGAAGGTGATAAGTGTTTGCCTTACCATTTTTATGATTTGTATAATTAGCACAATTGTTGACTCTCACACTATCTTTACTTTCTTTTCTGTTACTCCATTTCCAGCCACAGAATCTTGATGAAGCTATAAAGATTCCAAAGGAAACTATTGATATTTTGAGGGAACAAGTATTTGGGTTTGACACTTTTTTCGTGACAAGTCAGGAACCATATGAGGTGAGCACCTCAATTGACGTTGCATATTTTTTATGTTTCACTTTTACAGGAAAAAAGAATGATATAATGATTTGAATTCAATATACTATTCCTTGGTTGTGTTTAAGTTACAATATCTGGGGGATTTTTTATAAGGTCAATCATCATAATTCTCACCCTTATCATCACCTGAATTCCCACTAGTTGGGGTGGATAACAATCATAACATGAAATTATTACATAATGAAAACAGTGTGGCAAAGTTTTAAGGTGTGTGCCCTAGATATCACAACCTTGTCATGAAGAATTGATGTCCAAAAATTCCAATAGTCATCATTATGGGTTATCTCCACCCTCATGGAAAAAATCATGAGGTAACAATGGTTTGAGATAGTTATGGACTTATGGTCATGTGACCTCATGTCTCATTACAAATTGATATTGTAAAATCAATATGCAAATTAGGAAACATGATTGTATGTATGCTTTTCTGCCACTTGCATAGGTTATTTCGACCTTCATGGAAAATATCATTAGACAACAATGGGTTGAGGTAGTTGACCTTGTTAGATTTGTTACTTTTTATTTCATTTTAGAACTTTTTCTTTGATATATTTTCAGGGTGGTGTTTTATTTAAAGGGAATATACGAGGGCAGGCCGCAAGAAGTTATGAAAAAATATCAACAAGATTGCAGGTGTTTGCTCTACTCATTTTTGGGCTGAATTTTTATACACATAGTACGACCGAAATAGAGTAACTTGTAAGTTTGGGTGCAGGACAGATTTGGAGATATGTATAAACTATTTCTTTTGATAAATCCAGCGGATGATAAGCCTATAGCAGTTGTGATTCCAAAAATAACCTTGCAACCTGATAGAACTGGTAATTATATGCTTATATAGCATCTTGTCTTTTAAATTTGCTGTATTTTCTCAATTGCTAGATGCCATTCAGCCAGTATTATATTTACTTAACCTTCTGCAGCTGTCCCGGAATGGGTTGCTGCGGGTGCTTTTGGACTTGTTACATTATTCACCCTGCTTCTTCGTAATGTGCCTGCATTGCAAGCAAACTTGTTGTACGCCATCTTTCCAAATTCTAATTTTTTTCATACTCTGTATTCATGATCCGAGTTTTGTAAACAGTTAATGAGTAGATTATATAATGTGCAGTTTGTGCACAAAAAAACATGGTGCTCTGATGCTCATACTCTACTTATTCAATATTTTTTGTATTAAATATTCCAAATATAAGCATGATACTACCTGTGTGGTTTTATGTCCTTAGGATACTGCTTTTAGAATGATTTGATTTTTCAGTCACACGCACACACCTTCAATTTTCTCTTTCCTTTTCTCATTTTCAGCTACTCACTATTTCTCTTATTAAATGTTCCAAATTCAAACATGATATTACCTACAAATATCTCTTCTCTTTTTTTGTGGAGGATCCCCGTTGCATTCGTGCACAATGTAAGCATCTCTGCACATGTGTATAAATTGGCATCGTTTGGTTGATAAAATGATAAAGTGTTCAATTTTCGTAGGTCGGTTTTTGACAACTATGACTTGTTGGTGAATGGCCTTCCCGGAGCACTAGTAACTGCACTTATTCTTGGTGTTCATGAAATTGGCCACATCTTTGTCGCACAAAAAGCTGGAGTTAAGCTGGGAATACCTTATTTTGTTCCTAGCTGGCAGGTAAAAAAATCTTCTTGTTCCCAACCTCACATGCAGTAAAATAGTCTATATTGCTTCATCGTACTAGTTGTGCATACCATTGTGCACTCCGTATTTGATAAACGATCTAAACTCTCTATTCATTGTCTTGAAACTGAATTCGGAAATTGGAATAGCTCTTTCTTCCCCAATCAAACCCGCTACTAATGAGAGCTATTTTGATGGCAGATAGGCTCATTTGGCGCTATAACAAGGATATTGAATATAGTACCGAAACGTGAAGAACTGTTGAAGGTTGCAGTTGCTGGGCCTTTGGCTGGATTCTCATTAGGCTTTATTCTTTTTCTTTTGGGCTTCATCATACCACCTGCTGATGGGATAGGTGTTGTAGTGGATCCCTCCGTGTTTCATCAATCATTTCTAGCTGGTGGCGTAGGTGTGTAACCACTTTTGACCTCCTAGTATAACCTCAACTCTATTAAGATGTCCGCAAAACAGAGAAGTTGTTTCTGTTAGACTATTACATATGCAATGCCAAATTTGGTTTCTTTGTAGCTAAGCTGCTTCTTGGAGAAGCATTGAAGGAAGGCGTTCCCATTACCTTAAATCCACTTGTACTATGGTCTTGGGCTGGACTTCTCATCAATGCCATTAACTGTATCCCAGCAGGAGACCTCGATGGCGGAAGAATCTCTTTCTCCATATGGGGTAGAAAGGTACTACATTTACCAAAGCTAACTACAAAAATCAAATCATGGTCTTGAGGTGCACAGCTGATATTTTTCTCTCTTTTGAAAACACGGGAAAATTTCGTAATTGGTACCCAAAAGGCTCGTGTAGCTGTGACTACTCTCGTATTTGTACCAAAATTCGTTATTTTTCCAAAATTTAGGAATCTGAATCCCAATTGAGCTCTCACTTGATGTTAATACAGGCATCAGCACGCCTCAGCGCTGTCTCCATTGGGCTTCTTGGGATATCATCATTATTCAGCGACGTAGCGTTTTACTGGGCCATCCTAATATTCTTATTACAGAGAGGCCCAGTTGCCCCGCTGTCCGAAGAAATCTCAGAGCCCGACAACAAATACATTGCTCTCGGGATCGCTGTCTTGCTAGTAGGTCTTCTAGTGTGCTTACCATACCCCTTCCTTTTCAATTCTGATGTTGCTTTAATGAGCTCTTCGGATATTCTGTAATCTTAATAATAGTAATAAGTAATAATATTTCAATATGACAAAGTAATGCAGTGAGGTAACTTCTATCCGGCCATGTGCATAATTAGAAAAGTGATTTACAAGCTTTTAATGACCAATCTCTCCATTTCGGCCTTGGAGTTTAACAAGATAAATCCGAGCAGATCTATTTTTTGTCACAAACCATATTTCAATCCGGAAAATTAGCACTTAGCAGTAGTACTATTTGTAAGATTTACTTTCCCTTCCAAAATTTCCTATTCCAGAGGTCACAAAATTGAAGTCACACTTTTCATATTTGGCATGACTAAAACACAAAAAGACAATTTAAGTTTTATAAAATAAAAGATCAAAGTACTATGTCGTGGTATTATTTATTAAACAAATAATGACAATAAATAAAGAAAATACTTCCTCTATTCTCAGAGTGCTTGTCTAGTTTTAATTTTTTGAAGTAAAAGAATCGAACTCTGACTTATAATTAAATAAAAAATTATTTGGTATATTATTTAGATGAAATAACATTTTAAAAATGTTATACTAGATGAATCTAATTGATCAATTTTGTAGGATAATTCATTACTCCCCCCCTTCCAATTTGAATCGTCTGTTTTGATTTATGATGTTTGACTGAAGTTATTTTTAAATCATTTTATATGAAAAATAGTATAGAATAAAAAATAAAAATTACATCAAAAGATCTACAAAACTAGTGGTGAAATAATTATTATTTTATCAAATGACTTATGAAAATATGAAAAGAAAGTGTATGGCCTTGAACCCTATAAATAGTAAACATGTAATGGTCAAAGTTTACTAATTTTGACTAAAGTAAGTCAAAACTAAAATAATAATGTATCAGAGGTAATAATTAAAAGGGTCATGTTAGAGTGCCACCACATGAGTACAACATGAGTGTACTCATGCTTCACATCATGGTAATCATTGGTGTGACTCTGGTAATCATCTGTGCGAAGTATGGGTACACCCATGGTAGCATCCATGTGGTGACACCCTAGTACTTTTCTAACAAAAAATGTTTGCAAGAAATCCTAAATTAAGGCGAATACATATCTTATATGGAGTATCAAATAAATCTTTAATGTTTTTAAACTAAAATAAAACTTACATTGTTGCGAAAATATAATTTAAAATAAAAAGTATAAAATGCTAACATGGCACGTCGAATTGTAGACATTTTACCATTTGGAGATAAAAATAAAGAAATCTTATTTTGTTTTAGGTCATGTTCTACCCAGCTTATTTTTTACTTATTACTTATTCTTATTGAAATCAGATCAGATTAGAAATAAATTTAAATATAAATATATTTAGATTCGACCAGATCAAAACTTATTCCAATCATATAAGAACCATTCAGATCAGATGAAGATAATATCGCCTTAGTTTAGTTTCTACTCTGTGTTAGGTTTTAGTTTTAGAGTGCCATACCTGTGTATATTTTAAAACCTTTTGTTAATTATCATCACATTTTCTGGGTGAAATGTGGATCAAGAATATGGTGTCATTTAGGACGTCGTGTCCATCCACATATCTTTTTTTAATGCAATTAACAAAACAACCATACTAGAGGTATACTAAGAAATACAAACCAAAATATACATGAAAAGTATACACTAATATTTTAATGGTTGTAATATTATATGCCAGTGTAAATAATGACACTGACTTCCCACTAAAATTAAATGAAAGTAAACACTCATACCGAGTAGTGTACTCCGTATAATTTACGATAAAAATTTGGATTATGCTATGTGTACCTCAATTTGTACCTGTAGTTTTGCACCAACATTTTGTGTTGGTGTAAAACTAATTTTTGTTAAACACACCAACATTTGTGTCCGTGTGAATTTTTATTAACGCACCAACACTGTCATGGTTCTAAAAATTTCGGTGTAGAAGTAGAGCTTAAATCTTAACTAAATTATCAGATAACACTCCGTATTTGTTCATTATCCACAAAACAGTCAAAAGGTTGTTGATTCCTCCCTCCGTCCATCCGATCCTCAACGACGGGATGGCATTACCGCTGCTAGCCGGGGCAGTTCCAATGGCGGCTATCGCTCCAACTCTCTCCTTTTCGCGCTCCACCTCAGTCGCCGGTTCTCCTCCTCTTCCGATCAAGTCCTCGTCGTCGTCGTCGCCTTCCTGCGTCACTTCTCCGGCCCTTCCACTGAGTACGCTCGAATTCCACGATTCTAACGCGCTATTCTGTCCACCGGACATGTAATTGTAGTCTAAACGTGTTTACGGGAGTGAAGTTGATCTTCACTGTTTTCGATTTTCAGTTTACTGTGGAAGAGGAGATAAGAAGACGGAAAAAGGCAAGCGTTTCAATCACTCGTTCGGGAATGTGAGTGTTATCTCTTTCTAGATCCATTCTTATTCGTTGATTTTCCCCGGCTTTGATGGAACACAAAATTTCAAAAATCACTGTGTGAAATGTGAATTAGGTTTTTGATTGTGTGTTTTGGATGCAGGCAAGACCGAAGGATAAGAAGAAGGGGAGAGGGCCGCCTAGGGTTTCAATGCCACCTTCGGCACCGAAGAAGGATCCGTTTGACCTCGGTCAGGTGGTTGATATTGAAATTGATGATGAGTTTTAAGGTGATGATTTATCTCATGATTCAGATCTGATTCCTTGAGTTTGAGTTTTTGTGTGTGTGTGTGTGTGTGGAACATATGATGTATGATCTTCAAGCTCACATTTTCCATGGGAGTTGATTAGCATTTTATTTGCATTTCATCCCTTAGCTTTTGTTTGCACTGCCCACAATGCTGAAACAAGGATGATATATGTGCATTTTCAATCTGCAAGGTCAACTCCAATGGTGTTAGAAATTGTTTTCTCTAGGAAAATTTACCTCTCTAATCCCCATGTTTGCCTGTTGCTCACTCTATTCGGCATTCACAGTCAACTGTTTGCTATGACTTTTATGATATATGAAAAGTTGAATGAATGTAGACATATATCATGTCTACATTCATTCTGCTTTTGATATATCACAAGAATCGTAATGAACAGTTAAATGTGAATGGATGGAGTATATTTGTATATGCATGCCAACAATACCATATCTATATTTTCCTCCAACAATTCTAGGTTTGTTCCAAGTAAACCTTATTGTCCCTCCTCCCTCTTCTGTAACTCCGAGGCCTCATCAGTCACTTCCAATGAAATTTGAGATATTAGCGCAAAATGAGTTAAGCATAGGATTTTTGGTGTAGTTTATTTCAATATGGATGGCTTTACTATAGTGTTGGGGTGGTGCAATTTGCACTCATAATAAACATATACTACTTGGGTGGTGTACTTTGCGCTTCGAAATCTGAATAGGGTACCTTTGGTTTAGCTGTTTGCGGCATTTAGAACAGTTGTTCTTTTGTTTTTAAGGTGTTTGGTTGAACTGTTGTGATGTAAAATGGTTGGCAAATCAATTTTTAAAAGAGTAGGAAAATCTCTTGAGAAGAAAAAAATTAGGCATTAAAAAAAGGACTAATGCCTAGTAAATAGTACGAGTAATAAAAATCATTAGTCTTCAAAGAAAAATACTATAGTATAAAGCTTTGTTGTTGTTGTTGTATATATGTAAATTTCACTAGTTTTTTTTATTATCAAAGAGGTTCTTGTGACATTGAAACTCAACGAACCCAACGAATTGAGGGGATTTACACGGGCGTTCGGGGGAGGATAGGAACCCAACGAACCGAGAACCATAGGTGCCCTAGTTATGGCCGGCCAATGTCATCCTATGACATTGCCACTTAATATCTTCCGAACAATACTGTTTTATAATTACAATATAATATACAATATAATTACAATATAATATACATGCTTGGGTAATGAAGTAATATACTCGTTCATACTTTTTATGTTACAAAAAAGTGTGTTTTTTGTGTCTCTCTCCTTTGTGTTACTCTCAATTTCACCTTCTTTAATAAGTGTGTCCAATCAAATAAAGATTTTTTTTTATTTTGAATGGGGGGAGTATAATGTGTTTGTTCTGGTTCGGAACTTCAGATATTTCGTTTCCAAACTTTTAAAGACAGTTGGTTGGCTCACTATTGTAATCTTGAACTATGTTAGTGTACACCAACAATCATTTCTCAACTATAAGAATAAAATTACTGTTGCACAAACACATTGTCTAAGGAAAGCTATGCAAAAATTACTTGACTCATCGGATACATTTACAAAAGAAGACCCCATTCCCGTCTTCATTTTTCCTCAAAATCGACAAATTTTTTTTTATTAAAAGAGCTAGGAAAACCCCAACTTTTTGACTCATTATTTCTTAAAGACATACAATTGTCTGTTTGGTTACAAACAATAATTCTCTCTATATGTTTCTGAAGTAGTATGATGTCAAAGCTCAAAGTACTGTAAAACTAGTAAAATTTGCCTTGTAAACCTCAAGGGATATCATTTTAACAAAATCAGAATCATGTCGCTGAAACAATGTGTGGCTGTGCGAGTATGAAGTTACACGAAACTACATGAATGCTCCGGAAGGTGTTATGCGTGACACTCAATTCACAAATTTTCTCGAAACATTACTTCATTCGTACCAAAAAATCTTTATTAAGAGTTTTTTAATTAAATTTTATAAATTTTGATCATAAATTATATGAGTAAAAAATATGTATTTAATTCTAATTTAAATTTTGTATAATTAGCTTTTTAAGATAAATTTTAATATTCAAAATTTTATAACGTTTATTAATTTTAAATAATACTCTGTATGTATTGCAGTTTAGGCAAAATGTCACTCTAATTTCGATAATAATATGGAGTAATAAATTGCTTCCTTCGAGCCAAAATGATCTTGTGCGTTTGATTCTCTATGAGGTTAAAGAAAAATATTAAAAATTGAAAAAATATGTATTTAAAATGATGAACTTTTTAGCCACATATTGTTTTCCTTATCATTTTGAGGGGGAGAGAATATATTACTCTAAATATTTAAGTACAAAATTTTCAATTTTCTTAAAGTGCTTTCACTTTTTTTTTAAATCGATTAAACCAAATAGGAAATTTTATTTTAAATCAAAGAAATAATAATTTCCATTGTCCCAAGTATAATTATTGCTCCCACCGTCTCAAATTGCTTGACACATTTCGCAAAATGAATTAAAATATTAAGTTTTTTTAAAATTTATTTTATTTAAATATTGGTATAAAATAAAAAATAAAATTTACAAGTTTATAAACTACATGAATTTTTTTTTAAATAAGAGTTGTCAAGAATATTTTATTTTACCAAATAATCACTGAAAACGTACAAATAAATAAAAAAATTTATGTATTTGTTTAAAAAAGAAATATGGTATTTTTTAGAGGGAACTAGTATTTCCCTAGTTTCCGCAAACTCTACAATTTTTGGTACGAGTGACTCGATTGAACATATAAACTAATATGTAAACATATTAGTCGTCCACAAAAATTCAATCGGTCCAGTTTGCGGCTCCCAGTATATATATACGCGGCCCATGACGACGACAGCATCGACCCGTTTTGACTCTTGTTCTGGGTGCAGTGGGCCATTTTCATTCCACTGAGAAGAAATGTCGCACTCCCGCGATATGACGTCATCTTACCATGGCTCCTTCGATCAGCCCGGCGGTGCCGGTGGCTTCTCCTACCCTCCGCTCTCCTCGCAGCGGTTCGAATCCTTCCCGAATTTCGCAGATTCTGAGTCCGGCAAGTATCAGGCCGCTGGAGACGACTCGCCGTTCTTCGTTCCCCAACACCTTCCGTCTCCACCACAAATCTACTCTTCAGGAGGGGGATTAGGCTCCGATCCGGCTGATTTCTCCACGCTCCAAGATGAGAAGCCGTTCGACGATGGTTTTCCGGCATCTAATGGCCCGATTCTGCCCCCGCCACCGGAAATTCAGGAGGAGGGTTTTGCTCTCAGGGAATGGAGAAGGTTAATGGTTTCTACTGTTCAAATTTGATTTTATTGATTTTATTCCGGTGTGTTTGAATGATTTGGTCACTGATCTGTCACACATTGGCATCCGTTTCAATCTTAGATTTGTTTTCTATGTCTGTTACTGCTCCTCCCTATTAGTTTTCAGAACAAATTTGCCATCCTTCTTTATGCAAAATTTGAATTTGTTCTCTTTTTCCTTTATGAATTCTACCAGTCTGTTTATAGTGTATGTATGATCTTCCATTTTCATAGTAGTGCATTTGCAAAAGAAAAGGGAGTATGACAATGGAATTAGCGGAGATTATATATTCGTGGCTTTTTTGTTCATGAATCTTGAATGCTGTTTAAAGACTTCAAGAAAGAAGAAGAAGAAGAGAGATTTACTGGTTTTGATCAGTTGAGTGATTTATATGATTGCAGATATTTCAGTGTGAAACATAAATTTGTATTATGCAAATTAACACCTCTTTTCCCAGAAATGAATTTCAGTTTCTTTTACTGCTGATCATGTTTATCTGATTCTATTCATCCAATGAAGGAATGCAAAAACTGTTCTGATGTTTTCCGATTCTCTCAATGCCAATGTTAATTTTTGTTTTCCTTTCTAAGTGCGAACATGCTAATAGAATTAAAAGTGATGTAAGATCAAAATTGCACCTTTATGTAAGAGCATTTGTATTATTTGAAACATGATTTTTCAGACAAAATGCTATTCAACTAGAGAAGAAGGAGAAGAGGGAGAAAGAGTTGTTGGGCCAAATCATTGATGAAGCTGATTCATATAAAGTTCAATTTTACAAGAAGAGACAACTTGCAATGGAAGCAAACAAGGCTGCATGCCGGGAGAAGGAGAGAGTAAGATTACAGATTTCTTTTTCTAAAGTTCTTGAATTTACTCGGCTATGGTCCTATAGTTTTTGCCTCAATAGAAGAAACAAGCTCATTAATTATGTGTGTTGTAGTCCCTTTGCTTTGTCATCCATATCGGTTCTTAGCTTTCATTCTAGACTGTGTTGTTTTTTCCTCTTGAGTTCGTTACAGTTTCTTCTTCCCCTCTACTTGCTTCATGCGACATGATTGTTTTGGTTATTGTCGATTCAAATTTTTAGGTCCATTTAGGGCCTGTTTGGAAGTTCGAAAATGTTGGGGGATTATATTGTGAGGAAAATAAAGAGTAAGGAAATAAGATGGGGAAAATAAAAGAAATGCTTTAAGTTCAACAACAACAACAAACCCAATAGAATCCCACAAAAATGCTTCAAGTTCAATAAAGCAATTTTAGTTTCTTTTCTTTTAAAGTCATTTGATTTAACCTTTAAATAGTTCTATCTTGTAAAGGCTAAGATACCCAAATATGTGTAAAAGCTTAAAAGTTTATTCCAATTGGATTTCCCATTCCCTACTATTTTACTAGTTCCAAACATAGTCTCAGTTTCAACCCTGCAATTGTTAAAAAAAACGGTGGCTGACACTTATCGTAATCTTGTCGTTTTATTTCAAGTTATTTATTGCCAGACATGAGAAGTTGCACGCTGAAGCGGACAAACACTATTGGAAGGCGATTGCAGAGCTAATTCCTAATGAAGTTCCAACTATGGAAAAGAAAGGAAAAAAGAGTCAAGAAAAGAACCCTGCTGTTGCTATTACGATCAAAGGTCCGAAACCAGGGAAACCCACAGAGCTGTCAAGAATGCGGCAGATAGTATTAAAGCTTAAACATAACACACCTCCACACCTAATGCTGGCGCCACCCACCGCCACCAACACTACCAAGGATGCGAAATCCGGCACTGCTTCGCCCATTGCTATCAAGCCTATTGCCGTTGCTTGATTGCAAAATAATGTTTAAAATACTTGAAAACAATATACGAGTACATCTCTTTTCATTGTTTTGGACGGGTATGATTTCGTGTTGAGTTTATGCCATCTGTTATTTATATAAATGTCAGAAACGGGTACTTGCAGATTGTATAAGATGATAATATATTTTATCTCAAGGTTTGGAAAAATTAAAAAAAATACTCTGCCGTCTCTGCGGTAGTAAAGAGTTGACAATGATGTCTGGTATACATTACCAAACGTTTTAGTACATTACACGATTGATTGACAATGTTTCAGAAAATTGTTTTCTCCTAGTTTTCCTTCTAATGAATACATATATACTCGCACTTGCACATTGATCTGTACATAAGTA